CTGTTGCTACTTTTAAAAAGGAAGTGGTTGGAAACTGCAAGAACTGATGAGCTAAAAGATGGCGTAGTCACTTTGGAATTCTGTTTCTTAGGGCAATGATGTAGTTTTTAGTTCCTGATGTTCTTTATCAAGCTGGGCTACTTTGATAAACATTCTCTGATCTTAGCACTGGCACTCAACTGTAAAACAGTCTCAGTTTCTCTAGAATTTACATCCTGGCTGGTATTTCCAATAAATGGAACTGTTGACATCCTCATTCCTGTTTCAGATCCACCAAAGAAATGGCCTCTACTGCAAGGGTCTGGGGAGTCTCTTGAGAGGAACGGGAAACTGGCTGAGTCAGCACTGACCCCTCTCGTGTGACAGTGCGAAGATTGCCAATGTAGACTTCAAGAGTATTCAAATATGCGGCATTTTCACAGCTCATTGTTCTTTATATCTATCTCAGAAAGCACTTGGGATTCGCTCAGATGATAAATTTTCCTTTGGAAGTCATAAAAACAACAATGAAATCCAATCAAACCTATTCAGTAGCCATGCAAGAAAACCCTTTTGGCTTTTCATCCTTCCTCTCCTCTCTTATATGGTAGTGCAGACAGCAGAGCTGAAGAGCAACAAGGAAGGCAATCATGTGACTGCAGAGACAGTCGGGAAGGCACATAGTAACAGAGTTCTAATAACACCTCCTGCTCACCTCCACCCCATACCACCCCCACCACCCCCACCCTAGGAGAGGTAATTCGTCCACTGAGCCTTCACTTTAATTTGCACTTGCCTGAAAAGAATCACTTGTTATCAACATTTTTCTGCATGGAGAAAGGAATATGCAGTTGTAATTCCTAGTAATTAGCTATCAAAGTGGAAAAATGACAGAAGGATCAGGGCACAGAACTCAGGCTGTCTCACTACATCGGGGCTTTCAGAGTCCAGGGCTTCTTGGAAAGCAGCACATCTTAGCACTGTGCTGTGAGGGACAGCTTGTGTCCTGGAGAAGCCTTGCTTGCTGGTGTTGTGTTAAGAGCCAGGAAGCTAAGACCTTTGTAAGCTGTGGTGTCTTCCTTCCTTCCTTCCCTCCTTTCTTTTTTCTAACTTTTTATTGAGCCTTTGTAAATTTCACGTTATGCACCCCAGTCCCACTTGTCTCCCTGTCCCCTTTGTACCCACCCTCCACCCTTGCAAACCCCCCCCAAAAAAAAGAAGAAAAAATCTCATTGTGGAAGCTTTAGTATGTCACACCGTACACCCTCTTGTCCTCATATCTTCCCTTGCAAATGTTCATTGCAAGCAGCCATTGTTCTGGTTTGAGGACCCAGGCCTCTGCTACACTATCGTTACTGCATCTTCCCTGGGACTCCTCTTGGAGATCCTGTTGTTGCCCTGTGTCGTAGAGATCCTGCAGTCTTAAATCCAGCCCCTTCATGAGCTCCAGCAGTTCATTGATGGGGTAGATGTTGGGGTGAGCCAACTCAAAGCCCTGGATCTGGACCTGGGTGGTTGGGCAGCCCACCAGCTCTCCTGCACCCACAGCACCAGGGGGAGCTCTGCAGCACTGCCCCAGCTATCTCACCCAATGACGAAGCTGGCAAGGGGCAGTGCCAGCCGTCTTGCCCTCGGGTCGGCTCACCCATGCGAGCCGACAGCAGTGCAAGCACGATTGTGCTGCCCAAGAGAAGTGATGGCCTACTCTCATGACTTCAGGGCCAGCTCTCTTGTCTGCCACAGGGGGCGAGGGGTGAGGTGGAGTAGGGGCTTAAAGGGGGTACACATCTCTCCCACAGCCAGCTGTGGTATCTTTCAAACAAAACTGCAAATCCACACAATCTTGAAGCTGTAAACCGATTATACTGAAGACCTGTATGTCCTGGGCATCAGTCACTACAGTTCCCATGGCCCACTCTACCCAGGAGCTTTCAGAACTGCTAAGAGTGGTGGCAGCTAGTGTTTGCAGTGTTCACCGTGACTCTAAAAAGCATCATTCTAATCCATACTCTGTGGAAGAGTGATAACGTTTAGATTGGTCCTAATTTTAACCCGTGTTTTACATGAAATCAATTCTATTATTAACCTATCTTATAGCTAATAAACTGAGATAATTATCACAGACAGGATTTCAGTACAACTTTTAAAAAGTAATTATTAGGGCTGTGGATGTAAAACAGTGAGTAAAGTGTTTGCTTTGCAAGCTTGAGGACCTGAGTTCAGATCCTATGGAAAGTAGAGAAGGAAAATACCCAGAGGGTCTAAGGCCAGCTAGCCTGGCATATGCAGTGGCAAACAGATCCGGTCTCAGACAAACCCGAGATTGACTTCTGACAGCATGCACACATCACATTCATGAACACGCATATCACATACACACACAGAGAGAAGGAAGGAAGGATCCTCACACTCTGGTACTCCCGGCTACGTGAGAGTTTGACCTCCTACAGCATCCAGACCCCACCTCCAGAGATTCTTGGTGTTACAAGTGTTAAAGGGATAGTTGGTGTGGAACACATTTAGTCCCCTGGCCTCTTGTCTTTTGGTGATGCGTCACGTGCAGACTTCTGGCTGAGCATCTTGTCTTGTGTGGTTGAAGCCATCATATATACCCTGGGAGCTGTCCCTTCCCTTAAGTTTAGCTGGACCAAGACAGAAGAACAGACGTTCTACAGAAATGATGATTCCATGAAAGACTCTGAAGCAGTGGGGAAGGCTGGTGTCTTTCAGAGTACAAACTAATTTTAGAATGTAAAGTGAGCTCCATAGACATTTGTCACTGAGCTGTGTTCCTGAACTATGAAACATGAATATGTAGGCTAAGGGGTAGTTTCTCTTGATGAATAAACAACAATTTTTTTAAGGAAAAGTTCAGGTGCTGTTGGAGTGTTTAGTGACCTTACTTAAACAAGCGCAGAAGTTTGCTTAAAGGCTACAGGTGTTGTTCATGGCACCTGTACTGGTATGATCAAATATGTCTGGAAGGACAAAATTACTGCAAGGAAGGAATCACTGCAAGGTCGGAATCACTGCAAGATCAGAACATCACTCAACTGAGGAATAGTCAGAACCAGCAGAGCACATTGCCAAGGGTCTCTAAGCTGTGCTCATCTCCTAACTCCCCTTGGCCAGACCCACTTCCTCAACGTGGTGTGCACATCACTCCTGGAGCCAAGCCTCTACCAGAATAGAGCTGACCTGTCCTCACTTGAATCATTAGAATCTGAAGCTTTCTGTTCTTGTTTGGCCCCAGTATCTCCCCATAGGCCATTATGTGTCCAGGGAAAAGGGGTTCTTTAATTTCCTAGTTTCAGTACACGTAGTGTGGGGATTTGAATGAGAATGGTGTCCATAGGCTCATATGTTTGAATGTTTGGGCCCCATTTGGTTGAAAAATTAGGAGCTGTGTCCTCACTAGAAGAAGTGTGTTATGAGGAGTAGGGTCTGAGTTTCAAAAGCCCATACCATTTTCAGTTAGTGTTCTCCCTCTCTTTCCTTCCTCCCTCTCTCTCCATCTCCTGCCTGTGGATCAAATTTTGGGTCTCGGCTACTGCTCTAGTACCATGCCTTCCTGACTGCTGCCATGCTATATGCCATGGCAGTCATGGACTCTGATACAGTAAACAAGCCCTAATAAACTCTTTGTTTTATAAGTTGCCTTGGTCATGGGGCTTTGATGCCCAAGGTGGAGGCAGGCTGTTTTATTACATCCCCATATTGAGATTTACACCACCTCCTGTGCCACCGCCATTAAGGGAGGGAGGGAGGGAGGGAGGGAGGGAGGGAGGGAGGGGGAGAGAGAGAAAGAGAAAAAGAAAGAAAGAAAGAAAGAAAGAAAGAAAGAAAGAAAGAAAGAAAAGAAAGAAAGAAAGAAAAGAAAAGAAAGGAGGACATGACTACTTCTAAGGGGTTGGAGTTTTTATTATAGGTATAAAGGAGAAAACAGGCAGAGACACTTGGGAAAGTCCATAGTGGACTTAACCAGCAGACTCAGCCTGGGCCATGTGAGGAAAGGGGAGAGGGAAGAAAAAAAGGGGGAACCAGCAACAGCAGCCAAGAAAGCAAGAGGTAAAAAGGGATGGAGTGAACAAAATGGCTGGGTTATGCAGTGAATTGCAGCTGGGGGAAGGGCAGGCAAGCGCAGTCTGTGGGCTGCAGAAATTGTGGGGGAGGATTGTTGGTATGCCAGCCAGGAGGGCCCTGTAACAAACCCGTAGAGACTAAGGAATGCTGGGGGAACCTGGTAACCATCATCAGCTTTGATATGTTAATGGGGACCTCAGCTGTTTGTCCCAGGTTTGAGACCCAGCACACACACACTTAAAAATTATGCAGATAATTAAGGCTGTAAGAGTCAAATACAGACTCAGATTTGCTTGAGTCAGGAGCTAGGATTGCAAACTCCTAACACTCTCTGACACAAGCCATCCTGTTCTCACTTCCTGCTCTCTAGCAGGACACACCGCCCAGGAGCACCAGAGCAGACACACCTCTGTCATTCAAATCAATGTCTTTTCTATCTCTCTGTGGTCCCTGCATAGTCTTAAATCCACCTACATAAAGAGGAGGAAGTGGGTGGAAACAGACATACACACTCTGGCCAGCATTTCAGCTGACACACCTCCTGTGTCTGTGTGTCAGTCCCCCACATCTTGATCATTAGCTTCTTTCCTGGAGTTGAGGACTAGCTTACCTTTATCAGGTGTGCTTTTAGCCTCTAGATGAGTATCTTAGAGGGTGGGGGGAGGGTGATTCCAATATCAGGAATTGAACCCTGGAGGTGTATTCAATACTCAGTAGAAGTACAAACCTAGGAAAGCTAGTATAATAGAGGAATAAATGAACAAACAAACAAAAACCAAATCATATCTGATAGGACTTGCCTGAGCTCGCACATGTGGGTGGGAGATGGAGAATGTGTGTGTGCTGTTTGGTGTCGTTTTTAAGACCTCACCTTCTGGCAGAGGCAGAAGGTACGATTGAGACATAATTGCTAACTGATTGTACCTCTTACCTTTCAGGAAGACCTGCCCCAGGTGGTTGGTCACAGCATGGTGGCAGAGCAGCAGAAGGCACTGGGGTCACCTGACAGCGTGCGTAATTTATGTTTGGGATTTGCTCTGTTGGGGTAGTGTGGCATATGAACTGACCTCCACAAGCAAAAGAGATGCTTATGCTGTCATATCCGTTCTCACTGGCGGAAGTTTAAGAGTGTCTTTTTTTTTTTTTTTAAGATTTATTTATTTGTTATGTATACAATGTTCTGTCTGCATGTTCACCTGTACACCGGAAGAGGGCACCAGATCTCACTATAGATGGTTGTGAGCCACCATGTGAGTGCTGGGAATTGAACTCAGGACCTTTGAAAGAGCAGCCAGCGCTCTTAACCTCCGAGCCATCTCTCCAGCCCCCTTAAGGGTATCTTAAAACCTGGTATGAATGCACAGTTGTGTCACTGATCACACTTGGGTACCCAGAAGTGTCCTCTTGTCACCCCTCGGTCCTGGGAGCCTAACCAGGTGAAAGACACCCTGTAAAGACACCCTTTTGTAAGGCCACCCAATCTTATATAGCGCTATGAATAAAAACTTGAAGTGGAAGAATTTGTAGTTGGATAAATACATAAATAAATAACTTCAGTGTTCCTTACATTTTGACGTTCACTTTTCTTTGAAAGCTAGACCTCTTCCTCTGAGTAACTGTGTGATAATACTGTCTAATGATGAGAGCCTGTTCTTGTGATTGAGGTATCAATATGAGTAATAGTATTTTGAAAACTAGAAAGCATAACACATACAGGGTGGTTAGAATTGGTTTAGTTCTTGCCTAATGCATGGTGCCTTGCAGCAGATATTTCAAGAGTTCAGGGAAGCCTGGCACTTACTGGAATCTAGCAGGCAAATTGGGTCACCCCCTCTACTTTTTACATGACCCTTGAGAAGGCATTCATTGAGGATTCTTCCATTTCTTAGTTAGTTAATGCTAATATTCACTGGGGGTTTTGTCAGCAAGAGTACAAAACTATGAATTAATATTTCACTTGTTGTCCCTGATTCATGAGACCCCCAAAAGACCACCAGGAGTAGAGTCCATTATAAAACACACAAGGATCTTTATTCAAAGCTTGAGCCGGGACTGTCAGTGACACCAAGGCACTGGTATCCACCTGAGAGCCCCAAGCTCAGAACTGAAGGTGATTTATAGGTCCCAGTCCCAGTCCCTCCCAGCGCATCCAAAGCAGGGGAATTCTACCCTGGTACGCATCTGTTGGTTGAAACACAAAAGGGATATTGCACTTTAAAAATGATTGGCTGTGGGAAGGTGCCAAAACCATTCACAGTCTAGCTTCCTTTGTTTGGCTGTTGCTAGGGGAGAGAGGCAATGTGGGCAGGTTTCCTGGCAACAGTATCTCTAGTGTGCGGAAAGGAATGCAGTAAGGCGAGTTCCTCCCCACAGCTGGCCACAGTCTCCTGTGCCTGACCTTTGTTCAGGCTTGTGCTTTAAACTTTAATCCAGTAACCCAAAAACCTAATTCTTAGTTCTTTGGTCTCTTACACTCATATCTTGCTTCCCCTTTTTGACCAAGCTCCATCAAAGTATTTTAGAGCAAAATTAAATAGGAGGCAGACAAAAACTAATCTAGCTTTCCCTTTCTTGCTCTCTCAAAACACATTTTTGGAGCTTATCATTATTTTTTTTTTAAAGAAAGTTGAGCTCATTTGCATGAACTCAAATTATTATTTTTTAAATTATTTATTTTATTTTATGTACATTGGTGTTTCAGTTGCATGTTTGTCTGTGTGAGGGTGTCAGATCCCCTGGAACAGGAGTTACAGTCATTACGAGCTGCCATGTGGATACTGAGAATTGAACCTGGGTCCTCTGGGAGAGCAGCCAGTGCTCTTAAATGCTGAGCCATCTCTCCAGCCCTTCCTCATTATTTTGATAACAATAGTACAGCATTTTTACAATGCTCTTATTACCTATACACTGGACATTCAAGTGATTTTCCTTCATTTTTTAGGCCACCTGCCAGATGAAACAGCAAACATATTCAACACAAGTCTCCTTCAGCTCACAAGAGATCCCATCAGCACCAGCTCCAGTGTGTCAGTCAGCAAATGAAGACATCACAGGCTCTGGTACGACTCCATGTAACCAAAACTGCCTGGTGAACCTTTGGAAAAGGAAAATGTCATGACGCTCTGAGAAAAGAATGAAACCAGGAAGCAGGACACCTAGCTGTACAGTTCCCCTCTGCTCCCTTACCTTTGAGTATGAACACCCCACTTCCTGCCCTGTTTTCTGATTTCTCCACCACCTACATTGCCTAATATTACTGAATATAAATACAGAACAGAAAAGGCCCTCCATAGAGGCATCTGATGAAACAAAAGCCTCAGATTGCCTGTCAATCTCTCAGAGAGTAAGGTTAAGTCATGAATAAGGTCTCCAAAATCATAATAATCATAATGAAGACAGTTTTTAACACTATGTATTTTGATATAAGCCATGTGAAGATTTATTTTTCAGTAAAGAACTTGGTATTCAAAGCCAGGCACCGTGGCACCTATAATCCAAGCATTTGAGAAATGGAGGTAGGAGGATCAGGAATTTAAGGTCATCCTCGGCTACAAAGTGAGTTCAGGACCAGCCTGGCTCTAGTCTCAAATCTAGTCTCAGAGAGAAAGAGAGGCAAAGAGAAAGAGGCAAGAACGGAATTCATGTTGTAGCTTGAATTCTGATGATGAGTGAGGGTAAGTTTTACTTATGGCCTCAGGAAGTCATTTTTCCTATTTTTATTATAATACAAATGTGTGCATACATACGCCTGGGTATGTGTGTATTTATCTGTGTATGTAAGGGTTGGATAACCTTTGACAAAGTACTTGATACCAGAAATCGTTCAGATTTTAGAACATTTATTTTTGTATACTGAGATAGATTGGGAATAGGATCCAAATCTGAATACAGAGTCCGTTATGTTTTTATATATACCTTCTCTGCACAGCGTAAAGGCTATTAAGTGTGTCTGTGTTTTGACTTTCTCCTCCCACATGAAGTAACATGTTGAATTTTCCATTTGTGGTATCATGCCAATGCTCAAAAATTTTCAGATACTTGGATTAGGGATGCTAAGCCTGTGATATTATGGGATAAATTCTAAGTAATTTTTTTTTCAGTCAATGTACCTTATTGATTAAATCCCTTATACATCTTAATTGATGTTTCATACTCTTATTGGAAGTATATACACATTTTTCTTTTATTCTTCCTTTTGTTTTGGTTTTGCACCTCTAGGGCCTTAAGAGGTAAACAGTCTTCTGAACTCAGATCTTCTGCCCTAATAGCCTTTATACTCATGGCAGTGTTACACTTTTGTATACCTAAATATTCAGTCATCTTAAATTTTTCCATGCTGATTTTTCATGGTATATTTTGAATTTTGTTTTTTTTTTTTTTTAATTAAGTATACCTGAAATTGATAAGTTGACAGATTCAAGGAGTAAATGTTTTCATCTTAGGAAGTGCCACGGCAGTGCAGTATTTCGTCCTGTGGGTGTGGAGAGCAGTGACTCACCCTTTCCCTTCACAGCGCCTCATGGGAAGGGAATGATAAGCACACAAACCGATGCTCCAGCGCATGCAAGATGAGCTGCATCTCCCACTCGCCAATCGTTTTGTTTTATCACTTCCCAGGTAACTTCCAGGCTCCTCTCTCGGTGGACCCTGCAACATGTCCCATTGTCCCTGGCCAGGAAATGATCATAGAAATATCCAAGGGGCGCTCAGGGCTTGGTCTCAGTATCGTAGGAGGAAAAGACACACCTTTGGTAAGTATCTAGAATAAATGATGCCTCCTCTCACAGAGTCGGTTGCTGAGGCTCATTATGGCCCAGGATGCTTGAATGGGAGGCTTGACAAAACAAAACAAAATAAAAGTACTGGTTCCCTAAAACATAAGGAGATTCAGGAGCTGCAGGTGCCAGAGAAACCTGGTTCACTGCTTTTGGCTTGCAGGCTTTGCCTCTCTTCATCTTCCCACATGCCCTAGAGCCTGCAGCTGACTCCCAGTACACTGCCCAGCCCAGAAGTGAGTGTGCCCTGAGCCCAATGTTATTGACTAAAGGATTCTAACTCCATGATCAAAAACTTGCGACTGAGGACATTTGTGTCCTAACTTCCCGTCTGTAGTCAGGAGCTACTGCATGTGACATCCTGCGTAGGTGTGATGCCCTTGGGTGGAACTGGGAATGCTGGATATGCCCAGGGCCACAGCCAGTTGAGCTGCCAGCGCCTTACAGGGGCCTTTGCTTCCATAGGCTCTAACCTCCTGCATTTCTTACTTAGCTTGGGACACCATGTCTCTCTGGCCTTTGTGGTTGAGGAAAGAGAGGTCTTTCCTCCAGGCTTTCTTTTGGTTGATATGACGAAGCTGTATCATTAAACAGTGCAACGTTCTTATAATAGTGTAGTAACCATGACCCCTGGGTTGTCGGAAAGCTCAAAACTTTTAGAAACACTAGGAAATGGTTTATAAAAGCAATCCTTTCCATACTAAAGCCGTTGGAGTAGTATTGAGAAGCTGTGCCCTGCCATGGGTACTAGCTCCCTCTTCTAGGCTTGTTTCTCCCCATTTTCCCAAAGAGATGTCTTAAATACTGTTAAGAATCAAATTTGTATAAACACAGCTGTGTTTAAACAAAACAGAAAAATTAAATTTTAGAGCAATTCTATGCTGAATTCTTTCATGGTAAAAATTTTAACCCTGTAGGGGCTGCAGAGATGGTTAAGAGCATGGACTGCTCTTCCAGAGGTCCTGGGTTCAATTCCTAGTACCAACATGGTTGCGTATAGCTGTCTATAACTCCAGTTCCGTGGGATCTGAGACCTGATACACAGGAAAAAAATTAACCAGCTGATTTCTTTGTTGTAGATAAGTCTCTTTTTATGACTTAGCCTAAGACAGATCTGGAGTTCCCGGAAGACTCAGGAGAATGGAGTCTGCTCAGCGACTCTTGACCTTGCTCTGTCACCTCTGTTGGTACTAATACAGTTCTGCCCTGTGAGGGATGCTCAGCATTCCTGATGGAGATGTGTCTGCTGCCCTCTGCCACCGGCCTGTGCTAAGGCCTCTGGCCGAGGGCACTCCCCCAGCCTCCTCTTCCTGCAGCCTGAGGCCTCCCTGAACCTCGTGTTGGGCTTCTCTTGCCACCTCAAGAAAGGCAAAGATAAAAATTCTTCAGGAGCATCATGAGGGTCCTTATATATGGGTCTGCCGTAGATCCTGGGTATGCCAGGACCCTTGAAAGATAAGCACCACTTAAAATGAGAGCTGGGACACAGCTTTGATTTCCTCACACACCTCGTCAAAAGCCTTCAGTTAGTGTTACAGAAAACATATAGGGCTGTCATTTTTGTGCGGCCAAAAAGTGAGTAGAAGTGAAAAGTGTTTTAACACCTTGTTCCTACAATGAAGATATTTTCCCCTTTCTAATGCTCCCCCAAGTTTTCACATGAAGCATGAAAACTAACACATGGATCCCATTATCCAGGCAGCAGGAAGTTTGCAAACAAAGGTGGGAGTTTGTAAAAAGATGGTGCAGGAAATGATGAGCCAGTTATGTCTACTGGTTAGACTTACCTCAGCCGTGGTGCAGGGAAAGGCAGGCCTGAATCCCACCCCTCCCCTCTCTACCCCTTCCAATTAGAATCCCATGTCCTTTTTGTTATGTAGCCAACCAGCGGCCATCTGTAGAGTTAGTCTCTTGACACCTCATCAGTCCTCTCTGCCAGGACAGATGGCTTTTGAGATCACAGAGGGAGATCACATGTCCTGTCTGTGTTTGCAGCCAGTCACCTGCAACAGCCTTTGAAAGTACTGAGCTAATGACAAGGGTGAGCCCCTCAGAAGGTTTACTGGTACACCTGGTCCTGTCCTCAGAGACAGCCTTCTGCCTCTGCTGTTCTCATCTGTGATGCCACTGCCAAGCTAGCCTCTGGAGAGCACAGCCTTCTGTGATGGCTTGCATATGGTTGCTCAGCTCTTTGTACTTTGACCTGGGTTGTGAAATCGAGTGACATTACCCTGCCCTTGAAGAGTGCACACATTTGCTCAGTAGTTCTACTACCTTTTGGTGCTCATGGTTTGCTTAGGAGGTCAACCGATGAGAATTCATAGTACTTCAGATCTCTAGAGGGAAAAAGGAATGCTGTGGGAAGCATTATCCGAGTTTAACTGTTAGTAATTGTTGTATGATGTGTGGAAGCCAGAAAGCCAGATAAAGCACATATGCAGTGAAGGAGGGGTATCAATTCATGTTTTCTTTCCATCCATTCATATGGGTATGATTCCATCTTTCTTCCTGTCTTCTCTTGCTCTTGCTCTTCTCTTGTTGACCTATTCCATAAAACACCACAAGGCCTTCTAATGTGCAAGTAGAAGGTTAAGAGCACTTACCCTGCAGAAGCCTCCAGTGCCAGCCCCGCCCAGACCTGGTAAAAGTTCCGTCTCTAAATGTCTGTCTCCTGATTGGGAGTTTCATACCCACATTCTTGAAGTAACAAAGTATAGCACCCCAGACAATTTGAGATTATTTTATTTCCAGTTGTGGGGATGCTAGAAAGGAAAAGAAAATTCAAGGAGTAAGTCTTTCTCTTGGTTGAACTCCTGATAGGCCCTTCTCTAGATACTGTTGCCAGCAACCCCAGTTTAGACACTGTGACTGCACCTAGCCTAGCAGAGCAGAGCACAGTTGCTGAATCTTGGTGTATGGATCTCAGATGTTAGGGCCAGGCGGTGGTGGCACACGCCTTTAATCTCAGCACTCTGGAGGCAGAGGCAGGAGGATCTCTGAGTTCAAGGACAGCCAGGGCTACATAGAAAAACCTTGTCAAAACTAAAACAAAACAAAGGAAAAAAAAACCTTCAGTTTAACTGTGAGATGCTGTGGAAGTGACTTAAGTTAATGCCAGATGGGTACTATACCAGTAGTGTTGGCAAAAGTGCTTTGCCAAGTGCCCTTCAGTTGTCACTAGAGTGCACCCTTGAGATGACCCAGACAGTAAAGTGTTTGCTATGTAAGCACGAAGGCATGAGTTTGATGCCCAACAACTAAGTAAAAAGCCTGGCATGGTGACACGTGTCTGTAATCCCAGAGGTGAAGAGGCAGAGACAGGGGGATTCCTGGTACCAGCCTAGTTTAATCAGCAAGGCCCAGGCTCCATTGAGAAGCCCTGTCTCAAATAACAGGGTGGACAGCTACCGAGGTTACCAAGGTTGACCTCTGGTAACGGCACACATACACACACCCTAGCTTTCTTCATCTCATATCTCTGTGTGTACTCTTGCTATGTAAGTCACATGTATCCTCACAGCAGCCTTATGGGAGAAGTCTAAAAGTAATAGTTCTAGAATTTTTAGATGACAGTTTTCAAAGATATATCCTGGCAGTAGGAACAGGAAGCATTTGGACAGATGGTCTGGGTTTAAAGTCCATTCTTTGAGCCCTTGTGCTAGCCCTGCTGCTGTGTGCCATAAGTAAAAAGCCCCTAAGTGCCATCTTAGCTTGTGTTAACCCATACAGTCTCTTACGCCCGTTAAGTAGTGCCTCTACACCAGGCTCGTCACACCTTTCTGAACCCTAGCCTACTATGCTCAGTTCCTCTAGCGGCCCCACGGGCTCTGTGAGGAGTGTCTCTAATGCATTTTAGCTGTGTTCTTAGAGTCCCTGACCATTGCTGGGCACGGTGAGAGTGGTATCGGAAACCACAGCATTGAAGTGAGAACCACAAGGCTCGGAAACAGACCAGAAGGACAGTTGTGACTGTCTGTGAAACCTTAAGTTTCCCTTCTTGTGGATAAAGGAACAATCCAGTGCCCTCTGCCCTGAGAGTGAGCCCTGCCCCCTCATAAAAAGTAAGAAGATGATGTGGGTGTTCCCAAGGGGTTCGGTTAACAGGCAGGTGTCACATTATTGTTAAGGTCCAATAAGTGACCTGCCTGCACCCAGTGAGTATGTAGTCCCTAAAGGACTCTTAGCAAAGGTTGGACTCACATTCTGCAGAGATATAGCTACTCAGCTTTTTTGCTTTCTAACAAAGGAGATACGTTTATGTTTATGGCTCTTATTTTCAAAATGATGGTGTAAAAAGCTCATTACCCCCATGCTTGACATTGTGCAAATTCTTTAGTATTTTAAGTCTCCAGGGTTGTTTTATTTTGTTTAACTAGGGGATAAGGCTGGGTTATTAATGGTGTTCAGCGTGTTTGCCTTATGGAAGTTAGAGGGTTGTTTTTTTTTTTTTTTTAATCACTTTTGCAAAGAAAAGTTTGCAAACACAAGCCCTAGTTAGTATCCTTGCATTGTCTTGTTTTGTTACAAGAGAAAAACAGGCAGGGGCATTGGCTTTGCTTTTGCATTCAGGGTGCTATTCCACTAAAAATGAGGCAGCTCAGTTCTTAAGAAAGATTATAAAAATACAGATGTTTTTTTAAATGTATTGGATTTTATTGTTTATTTCATGTGTGTATGTGTGTGTATACAGGTAAGCATTTACCACATTACAGGTGTAGAAATCAGAGGTCAGCTTGCCAAAAGTGTTATGTCCTCCACCTGTGGGTCCGAGTTTGAACTCAGCAGTGGCCATACTGTGAGCTGTTCCCCATGCCTCTGCACCTCTCTGACCCCTATCTTGAAGGCGGTATTTAATGCTTGGCGCTGGGATTTTTATTTAATAACCCATGTCTTCTAGGAACACCCATGAGGATGCTTCAGTTTAAACTCTTTTTGGCAGCAAGAACCTTTACCTCCTGAGCCATATCACTGGCTCT